TTCAGCTGACTGTATGACGTTACAGACCACCTCTGTGGTCTAACTGTCAGAGCTCCTGGCTACAGATCCAGATGTCCCGGGTTCGATTCCCGGCGCTGTCAGATTTTCTGAGAAGTAGTGGGTCTGGAACGGGGTCCACTCAGCTTCGTGAGGATAAATGATGAGTTTTCTTTTTCAAAGAAATAGCGGCTCCGGTCTAGAAAACCGAGATTAACGGCCGTGGGGATTCGTTGCGCTGAATACGCGACACCCTCTATCCGCTAAAGTTGGCACTAACTTCGCCGAGAAGCGGGGGTCGCTCGGTCGGTATAGTTCGTTTGCGGACTACAGGCCAAGGAGTTTTTTGTTTTGTATGATGTTATGTCTATCCCAAGAGATCGTATTCTTCATAACCAACGCTGTGAGAATTTGAATCATATATACTGGAGTTTTACCCAAAGCAGACAAAAGACAACTTTTATTCAATCAACTCATTATCGGCTTCCTTTCGGTCTATCGGTTACATTGATCTTCATTTTGATATATTTGCTCGGCGCAGCCCCGTTACAGTGATTTCCATTTATCATACGACTGGAGTAATCATTAATAATTATTATCAGATGTAATGCGCCATTCATTAAAGCAAATATCAGTACATCACTACGTTATTTTCGCATGAAAGAATCATATTTCACGCGTAGTTGTGACTACAAGAACTAAAACTCTGTCGGGAGGCTATGCGAAGCCGAGTACTGCGTACACAAATATATGCATACTAGCCTAGCTCCTAACTAATACATAGCACAAGGATAGTAACTACAACCGTGACATTTTCATCTATCTATTCCACTACAGCCCTTGTGGACCTTGGCCGCTTTTTCAGTTTCTTAATTTATGCACAGTCGGCAGGACGCCTTGGACGGGGGATCAGCCCGTCGCAAGGCCGCTACGTACACATAAAGCAACAAAAAAAAACAGAATAAACGCACAGAGACATCCATGCCACGAATGGGATTCGAACCTACGACCCCAGTGTTCTAGCGGACGAAGGCAGTTCGTGGCTTAGACAGCTCGGCCAGCGTGATCAGCTTATACATTATTACAGTATATAAAATGCAAATTGGGCTTCCAAATAATCCTATGAAATATAGTTCCTTGCTGTGGCCCTATTATCCTATTCATATTCTTTCTCTTTCTCGTTTCGCTACCGAAAATGTTCAGACATTTTATACTTAAATTGATTTAAATATATATAATATTCATACACACATCATTCGTTATATCAGAGAATATGCTTTGCTTATTTACATTCAACCTGTCAAAGTAAATTCGAGGACTTGGGGTAGTGTAGTTCGTGTAGCGACTGGATACGGACTGGATGACCGAGGGGTCGGGGTTCGAGTCCCGGTAAAGTTAAGAATTTTCTCTTCTCCACGTCGTCAAATCGGATCTGGGGCTCACCCAGCCCCCTATCAAATGTGTACCGGGGGTAAAGCGGCCGATGCCTAAAGCTCGCCTACAACTAATGCCGAGGTCAAGAAAATGTGGATCTATATACCAACTCCCCCATAAGTCGTCATGGCGTAGTCCTTAATTAGTTAAGCACAGGGACAACTCTACCTTAATAGAAACTCCAGTCAGCACAGCCAGTATCCTGGTAGAGATTCGAAAGAGCATCTCCAGCGTACAAATCTAAAGCAATATCGCTAGACAAACCCGCTCGGTTTCATGACGTACTGCTTAATTAATTAAATCTCCCGGTATCCATGTACAAAACTTTCCTTCTTCTTCTTCTTGTTTTTCGTGTTCTTCTTTCTCCACCTATACTGGGGGAGAACTAATTTTGAAACTCTGTATCTTGTAAACAGCTGGCAGGACTCATTGGGCAGAGGATCATCCCCGGCACTTGGCCGCTATGCAAGCAGGACAGCACAAACCCCCATATATACGCATGTAGTGGGTTTCGAACCGACGATCCAAATATTTGAGTGGACGATGATATTGTGTACCTTGTACGCCCAAATAACTTCCTACAAACAATAATACAGTCACGTATTTGATGTGTGTGCCTGATTTATAGAGGGGATTTGGATTTCATGACTGGATTTATTGACATCTTATACACTAAAATCATAACTATAACTAATTATAGCTCTATCGCTATATCCTCATTTCACAATTCACTGTTACACACATCAGTGTCCTCAGTCTATAACAGCCTCCACTGCCCGCTTCCTGGCAACGGATTATACCATAGGAATCACACCAGTCTCACTGTAACTGTAGCATACATTAAGTCTTCTTTGCAGAGCTCAATTTCTTTCTTGCCATTTCTTCCCAATTATTCTTTAAACTGCCAACTCCACAGATTCAATCAATTCTCATTATATAGCCTCGGAGAAACCCCCACAGAAAACAACGCTTCCTCTATTGATGCATTTAATTAAATGCTGCAGAGATGTGTTTACCGCACCCTTGCTTAGTAGCGAGCGCGGCGCGACCTACAGAAAACACTGCTCCTCTATTGTTGCGTGCGTTCGCTTCCGCGGGGATTTGTCTACCGAGCCGTTGCCTAGCAATGAGTTATACCGGCTTCCAGGCGTCGTGTCACGGTACGTACTATCACCATACTATCACCATATGAGGTTATCCGCCCAGGATACGAGATTTCAAACACAGACGATATGCTGAATGGTCTTCCGCCCTTCATTCCGCTCAATATTGCGAGAAACACACACAAGTGGTTAGAAGGGAAGGTACAGCCGGTGGTCTACAACTCGTTCGTTTTAACAAACGGTCTCTAGATGTTACAGCGTTGCTAGGCAACATGCTAGAATCCTCCATATAACAGGGTACAGTGGGTCTGAGTGCAAACGCCCTCAGAGATAGAGCCCTCTCATTAATGACAATATGACGAATGGAGACTTAGTTGGAGTGAGGAAAAAAAGAAAATTAACGAGGAAGAGGAGGCAGGCTGTTCTGTGTCAGGACGTCGTAAGGGGAGCTTCTATGCAAATAATTCGTTACACAAACACTCACAACTATTTGTACATACATACGTATTTCATTTGACATACGAAAGGTAAACTTGTCCCTGTGCTTAATTAAATATGTACCACAATGAAGAGTATATAAGGCAGTAGAGGTACAGGTCAACCATTCTTAATCTTGGCACTAGATGGAGTTACAGGCCTGCTTCACGCCCCGACCGCTTTAATCGTAAGCCTGTCTGGACACTTTGGAAAATGAAAAAATTCTTTCTTGTCCATACTGAGAAGTTAATTTCTACCGCTCAGCCGCAAGCCCATCACTAGATCAGCTGAGCTATCCAAGCTCCCTTCCGTTTAACATAGGCAAAAGAGAAAGCAAGAGAGGCAAGGACATCCATTCATCTATTTTACCTACATATCTACCTACTTACCAACCCACTACCTAGCTGCCTATCTATAGCTCTTTGTCGGGCCTCGACCGCTTTTCAGTTTCTTAATCCTATACATAGTCGGTAGGGCTCCTTGGACGGGGGATCAGCCCGTCGCAAGACCTCTATCTATACTCAGAATAATACAAACACAGAAAAAAGGGATTGGAACCCACAACCCCAGTGTTTGAGCGGGCGAAGGCAGTTTATGCCTTAGACCGCACGGCCAATGTGATCGGCAGGCAGTTGAAAGTCAGTCTGTGAAGAGAAGACTAGAAGGTTCGTGTGAAATGGTAGACAGCCTGGGACCCAGTTGTGACAAGAGAACCTGAGTGACGGAAGCTGAAGAATCTCCCTCGGTAAAGCCGTTGTCAGGAAATGGTTACTAGAGACTGTTATAGACTGAGGACACTAGGCTGTGTGTGTGTCATTGATCTGTAAATTGTAGTTCCGTCTGGTGTGTACAAGTGGTGAATAAATCCAATATCCAATCCATAAACCGTCTATAGCCACCCCCCCAAATACGTGACAATATTAAAACTGATACCTGCGACATAATATGTGGAATAGATTCTGCTGGCTAAGGATAATATCTAATGGAAGAAGTCTGTGAATATGGTAAAGGATACAATTCTGTTTCCATAAACGTAGGCATCTTTTTGGCAGATAAATAACCATAAACTCGAAGGATGAAAATATTCTTTGTGCCTGTAACACACAGTTTTCATTTTCAGTACCAAGAGAATAGACTTCGCGTCTCTTATGCCCACCGATAAACTAACATACTTCTTTGTTAATTGTTTTCTAACAATTCCATACTTCCCGGCATTCTGTTAAATTTTCTGTGTAACTTCTACTTACTTCAGCTAACCCTTCCTTACAAACTTAAGTCTAACTTCTGTTTGGGAACTTCTGTGTGATGTTTCCTGCATCCTAGTAAATACTTTTCTAAATTATGGAGACAGTTTTGTCCTATATACTGATTTATAGGCATTAATAAGACTCAACCTGATTATTCTGTAGTGTTGCACTATCGCTGATCCCGCTAGCCGAGCTGTCTATGGCATGCATTGTCTTCGCTCGTTTGGAAGTTTCGTAGTTTCGAATCCCACAGAAGGCATAAATGTTTTGTACGTGTATGTGCTTATTCTGCGTTTGTGTTGTCCTGCGTTTACGTAGAGGCCTTGCGACGAGCTGATCACTCGTCCAAGGAGTTCTACTGTCTGAAAAATGATCAAAATAATAATAATAACAAAGAAACAAAACTCGACACCGTAAAGGAATAAGAGAACGGATTAAATTAAATTACACTATCTGTGGTGTGTGTGTGTATGTAATAGTATATACGACACTTAAAAATTTAATTCCAGTTTCTGTCCTCACAGCTTCCTTCTTAATTTACTGACAGATATTGCTTCCTACCTTCTCAGCATCTTAACAAAACCGTGGGACCATGGTGTCAGAGAAAGCAGTAGGAGGGGAAGATGAAGTGATTCGCGAGCAGATAAAACCCTTGCGTTAGCACCTTCACAGATTCCTGCTGACTCTTTAAAAGAGAGGTACGTGCAGCTAAAGTGATTTTAAGAGCACGTGTGTTGCTTACCTGATAAAGTTTTCCCAATATCCACTTTTCTCATTCTACCTCGAAAGTCAAAAGTACACCAACCTAGAACAAAGAAATCATATATTAAAATAAGTTAAGATAATTTAGTCAGAATAGAGTAAATGCACTTAGGGCTAGTAATGGTTACATTTATATTTAAATCAAACACGCCTTGAACAATTGTTTTCTTTGCTTGTAGACACTCTACAGAAGGCACAGACGTAACTTCCATCTACATCTAAAGTGTAGCAAGCTGTGGTCCAATATTTTACCACCACACCATAAACTCAAACTCCGTGGTTTTAGTCCGCAAACGAAGTATACCATATAAAATATACTATGCTCAAACTCCGTGGTTTTAGTCCGCAAGCGAAGTATACCATATAAAATATACTATGCCGTATAAACATCCTTGTTTGCGGAGCCCCTACTTATTAAAAATATGATGTTATATAGTTGCTTGTTTCGCGGTCATTGCCTAGTAACGGGTCTAAAGCCAAAACTGCTCCCTTCTTAAGGCTATTCGTCCCGAATAAAAGAAACAGGATGGAAGGGTGTGGGCTGGATTAATTTGGCTAAGAATATTTCTATTGTGAAGATGATAATAAACTTTGAGATTCCATAAAATGCTCAAGATACATTAACTAGCTAAGCAAGTATTAGCTTCTCAAGAAGGTCTCTACTTCCCGGAGGTAATTAGGCGGTTACTTAATGACCACAGCAATTAGATCAGCGACTGTTGTTCCTTGGCACACACTTCTTCCTTTGGCGGCATATCTTGGCAATGGGAGCTATCAGCGTAGTTATTTTCACCTTTGTTCTCTCCGAAAAGCTTTCTGACAATGAATTTTTAAAGCGTTTTGAGGCTCATATACAAAAGTAAGAGGAGATAAATGTGATGATAAATCTTGCTATCGGAAGACATCGAATAGAAGATTTAACGTGCAGCGCTATTGTACATTTAATGCACAAGTTTTACAGTTGGCGCCTGTTAAACCTTCTTTGTGTCGCACTTGTGCCATCGGCAGATATGCATGACAGATACATCCACACTTAGTGGACATTCAGTAAACGTATAAAATCCTTCACTTTTCAGAGTCTGTAGACATCCAGTAAACGAACAAAATCCTTCACTTTTCAGAGCCTGTAGACATCCAGTAAAGGAACAAAATCCTTCACTTTTCAGAGCCTATGGACATTCAGGAAACGAATAAAATCCTTCACTTTTCAGAGCCTGTAGACATCCAGTAAAGGAACAAAATCTTTCACTTTTCAGAGCCTATGGACATCCAGTAAATGAATAAAATCCTTCACTTTTAAGAGCCTGAGGGCATCCATAAAACGAATAAAATTATTCGCTTTTAAGTGCATCTGATACATGCTAAAATATGAATAGGAGATCATCAGCACCATAAAGTGACAAGGAATTTGGCCGTTTGTAGACCAGTCATAACTCCAATCTATTTGACTGATATTTTAGTTCCCTTCACATTTAGTATGTAGGAAAACGTTAATTTATTTCTGTAATCGAAGATGTGGCTGATGCAAGACAGTCTCAAATTCATCCCACAGTCACTTCCTTCTTCCGTACTATTTCCATATGGCCTACATTTTAAGGCCTGTCTCATGAATTTCAGCCCAGAGAATATGATTTCGGAGTTGCACGTTAACCTTCTTGTTCAGGTTTTACTGCTACAAAAGTAGCCAGTCAAGGAACTTTATCCTTTAATTACAGTGTTCATAAGAGCCTAAAACAGATGCATCTTCCCGTAAATTCTCAAGGCATTCTTTAATATTCTGCTATATTCCTACTAACGACAAGGTTTCCCAAGCTCTTTTCCTTTAAACTTTTCCGATTAAAATATTTAAACAGTGTTTATCATACGTCCCAGGAGTGCTACATACTCCACCCACCTCATCCTCTCGCTTTTCATCGCATTAATAATATCTGATGAGGAACATAAAATTTATCATTCACTAGGTTATGGTTGCCCAAGATTTTGCCGTAGCAACGACGAGCTTTCTCATAAAATGGGCGCCTTGTAATTGTTTATACTTTATGAAGAACGCATGTAAAATTATAACTGTAGTAAAGTAGACGAAAAATTATTAGTAGCAATAAAGCTGGGCTATTAAAACCATTACGAGTGTATGAGACGTCTTCCTGACTTATTCCACAAAGATACCCATAAACTAGGTTTTTGTTCCGCTGAATTTTTCATAAAATCTCAAGGTATTTCTTCTTAAAATAGTGCCTTTACTGACAGTAAGATGTCACTAGTAGACGGAAATGCTGGTAATAAAATAAATCTTACAGACCACATCGTTATTGACGTAATATGAAAATGTACCATTAAAATATTTTGTTGTCGTTTACGTGAAATATAAAACGTAACGCCTAGTGGGGAAATAATTTTCTCTCTCTAAAATTTTACAGTAAAACTACATGAAATTCTGGAATACATGTATTTTTCTGTCGTACCGCTTCTGGCTGTTGGGCTGTTCTGGGTTATTGAATTTAATACATTTAAATTTTCTCAATTAAATTTCCTGAAAAATATAGAAAGAAAAATTTTGCGCACAGGATATAAAACAAAATATTTAGACGGTAGATATGTATTTATTTTGTAATTTTTATCTTTATTTTTATCTTTAAATGCCGGGCTTTTAAATCAAAAACAAACGGCTTTGTATATATTCTTCCATGGAATTCGCAATGCTTTATTTTGAGAACAAATCTTGAAAGATGAGAGAGATTTTCATTTTATAGCCAATATTAAACAAATATATTAAAATCATAAGCATACGACTCAGACAAAATTAAAGCTAATGGTTTATATTTTGTTTCTCTATTTATTTAACGACCAATTTTCAGTAACACGGGATATACGAGTACATATAGCGTAGAACGTGTGAATGATGAATTTATAATGAAGCGACAGGAAACATCGTGGCTTATTTTAATGCATTATCACAGCATTTGGGGTTGGGATAATTCAGTCTGTATAGTGACGGGTTATAAGCTGGACGACCGTGTTTCGACTCCCGGCAGGGGCAAGATTTTTCTTCTCCGTAGCGTCCAGACGGGTTCTGGGGCCCACTCAGCCTCTCATTTAATGGGTACCGGGGGTAAATTCTCTGGGCTTAAAGAGGCAACGACGTGAAGCTGACCACTCACTTCCATCTAGTGCCGCGGTCAAAAATATTGGAGCCATACGCCTTCATCGCATAGTGCTCAATTAGTTAATCACAGCAATCAGCTGGAAGGACCTGCGGAAGACAAAGAAAACTCTGTCAGGTTAACCTATCTCCTGGCCGTGAATGGAAACCTGGCTCTCCTAATATGTAACCACTACACCGTCATGTTCAATCTTACGGAACTGGAACTAGGAAACAGCAGGAACGGATGTGATCACAATCCTGCCGTGGTGAGAATGGTGCTTAGAGAAGTGCGACTTGGCGGTCACATCCGTTCCTCCTCAGTGATAACCATAGCAGACGTAGGAACGCAAAAAGAGTGAACGAAATTTTCCGTTAGATTAGGTTCTATCAGCAGTGTTCATGGTCTATTAAAGGTAAGGTAAATCTATCTCTGTAACAGGCCTCGGAGGCCCATAGAGTTGTGAGACGTGAGGGTACCACATTATCTAGACCAGTGCTGTCCAACGTTCTTATGTACCCGGGGCACAATTCACTGATGCCTATGGAGGTGCGGGCGCCACCACCTACTACTACTACTACTACTACTACTACTACTACTACTACTACTACTACTACTACTACTACTACTACTACTACTACTACTACCACCACTACTACTACTATTTCTACTACTTCTTAATACTACTACTTATACTACTATTACTACTACTAAAATAATAATAATTCAATTCAATTCTTTATTATTTATGTGCCAAGTCAACAGCCGCAAGGCCAATTACAGACTTAGCACAGTGTAGATGAAAGTAATTACAATATGAATGAAACACAACGTAAAGTCAAAGACAAATTACAGGCAAGCACTGGAGGAAAACACGACAATGCAGTCAAGTAAAAAAACAAACAAACAAATAATAATAATAATAATAATAACAAAACAACAATAATAATAAAATAATTAGAAATTTAATACTGACTAAATCTTTTGTTAATATAATTATATTTACTTACAATCTTATGTAATTAGTGTGAAATTTTACAGTGCATGTTAGCTGGTGTGTAGCTGGAACAGGCTGCTCTTAGTGCATGATCTAAGTGTGAGTCTGTTAGGCAGGATCGGTACTTATTTTTGATGATGCTCATAGATGGAAATGCGACTTCGCACACATACGTCGAACCAAAACAAGAATAAATTTTCAGAGCAATGCTATGAATCATGGGATATTTATTCCTGTCCACCAGAGTCCAGAAATTGCTACAAGTTGCAAATTAGGATTTCAAAGATATGTCTTCTTGGAAATTTAAAATTTCCATTTCTAATTCTTCAAGATTATACTTTCCGAAGATTTCACACACCTCCCCTCCAAGTTCACTAACGTCAACAGTAGCGAATGGATTACTGATAAACATTGTCACTGGTTCAAGTGTTGAAAACTGGCTAAATCTATTACCAAATTCTGTCACAAGGGCTTCAAGATTTTGGGCAAAAGAGGGAAGATCGTATTCACAGCCATTTAAGGTTTCCACAACAGATTTCATATGCGGAAAATATGAAAGGGAATTTCTGTTTAAATGCGCAATCCATAGCTTTAGTTTCTTTTGAAAAGCATCAACTATACTTATGCTTGAAATGTTGCGATCTTTCCCTTGTAATTCAAGATTTAACTCATTTAATTTTGAGGTGATATCTGTCAAGAAAGCTAAACCTAGTAGCCATGATATTGCATCAAGTTCTTGATAATATTGGCCAGGAGATGAGTTCAGAAAGTCCCTGACCTCATCCAGAGGACAGCAAAATCGTTCCAGTGTTTTCCCCCTACTAAGCCACCTTATGTCTGCATGGAAAATTATGTCACCATGCTCAGTGTCCGACACATTCAAAAGATTTCTGAACAATCAATGAC